GAAGTGATGGTTGTATGTGAAAGTGAAAGATTTCAAAAAAAATTCTCCAGAGGCAAAGCAGAAGAGGAAAGCTAAGCAGTGAGACAGAAGAGAATTTGAAATATGATGTGTTTGGTTTTTGTTTGAAGGCATGCATATCTCATTTGAAAGCATGTAAACACAGAAGAACCCACAAACACTCGTGCTGGTTTTGATTCAACATGCAGACATGAAGAAGAGTCAGTGTTTTACACCTAAAGAATATCCCCTCACAGAGAACGAGGGACTGATGTTTTAAGGGAACAAAGAGGAGAGAAGATACACTGACTGAGCTGAATAAAAGTCAGCGAGGATGAAAAAGAGAAGATATAAACATGAGAGAGAGGAAGGGAGAGCACATCTCATACCAGAGTCACACTAACAAGTCAAGCTGAGTGTAAAATATGTGCAGAAATGTTAAGACCACCTTCCTCAGACTGAACAGCCCCAAGTCTGAAGCTTAAAAAATGAGACCTCGTAACTTTTCAGATATCAAATCACTCAGTCAATCAATCACACAATTAATTACCTTGTAAAAGTCAAACTGTGTGTGTGTGTGTGTGTGTGTGTGTGTGTGTGCGTGTGTAGTGTTACCTGTTAGGACCTGTGGTGTGGTAGAGTGGGGGACGATGGCAGCGTCCTGAGGGACTGAACCCATTTCAGGTTCTGGTGTGCTGTTTGGAGAAGAGTTGGCCAGGGACATCACCATCCTAGGCTTCAGCTACACACACAAACACACACACACACACACATCAATCAGTAGTGTCCCCTTATAGCTGTCTTTTCTTATGGCACATAAGAAAACAATATTTTGTATTGAAGAAAATTCTTGGATCTTTGGCTAAAGCATTCCACGTTGGCAAATGTAGCTGGGACTTAAATATATCCTTTGGTACAATGGAGGAAATATTAGGGTTTAAAAGTGTGATTCATAAGATTACAGTGTAGCCACTGCCACTTTGTTACAGCTGCTGGCAGAGGAAATCTAATGGGCTGATTGAAAAAGATTTCATAAGTGTCATTTATTTACACACCCACATTTGAATACATTGGGCCCGGGTTGAAAAAACTGTAATTAATAAATAAAAATGGAGGGTTTCATACTAATTCCACTATTAACAGGACCACCATATCAATAAAATCAATGTGACCTCCACTCAACTTAATGCTCTGAATTCTTTGTTGAAACACACAGAAGCTTGAAGCTTGGTTTAGTTGAATTTACCTTGAAGCCAGGTTTCCTGCCTCTCTTCTTTGGGACTTTGAGTGGCGACAGAGGCTCGACATAGTGACTCTGGAACTCCAGTTTACGGATGGGAGGCCGCCCTCTCTTTCTGCCGGGCACCTTCCCCGGCGGCCCCACTGTAAACTGTGGGCCGGGGGCTGGAGTCTGCATTTCGGAGCCGACAGACAGGGTACTCATCAGACCTGACAGAGGCAGAGAGATTATTAAACTGAGAGTAACAGGAAGTGGCGGCTTCAAACTGCACGCACCACTGCCTCTGTGTTAAAGTGGAGCGGAAGCTGAGATGTACATGTCAGACTATAACCCTCAAAAAACACACACACACACATGCAAACACTCCCCCACAGAAAATATAGGAAATAGAAACAAAGCAACATAAAGCTTTGTACTCTGCCACACCCCTCCCCCCTCTGCAGCTGCAAAGATTGCAATAAATATCATTACTGCACAGAGAGAGACAGACAAAGACACACACACATGCACACACACACACACACACACACACACATTACATTGCCAGTGTTAGGAGGCAGCATGTGAGTTTCCAGCTGAGCAGCACCGCAGAAGTTCAGCAGAGGATGTTTTACTAATTATCTGTCTCATACCCATTATTCTTTTGTCTCTGTTTGGCTAATTAACACACACATGGTTTTGCTTCATTGCAGAGCAGTGAATAATAAAATCATCTTCCTGCTTTGAAAAACACTTTGCAGAATGCAGAGAAACAGGAACAGAGACAAACAGAGCATGTGAACATGCGTTATCCCCACCATCCTCTCACTCACATCAGATCACATAGAGAAAACCTCAAGATGAACACACACACACACACACACACATGAATCAACGTGAGTGTTGCATTGCCTACCATGCACACGGCCGTCTGGTAATCACTGCCTGTGTGATGCTTCACCCAGCAGCAGCTTTCTGGATATTCCCCTGATGGATCTCCAACCCGTCTGCCTCTACACTGTTCTCTACTGCTGCTGCTGCTGCACACTTTCAAGACACCGGCAACTCTGCGCACCTCTCTCACACACACACACTCTGCCTCTCCTTCTCTTTCCCTCTGTCTGTTCCTCAATCTCCGACCACCTTCCTCTAAAACATCCCCCTCCTCCCTCCTTCTACCCTAACCCCCTTTTTCCTCTGTGTCCCCTTTCGGTTGTCATAGCAACACGCTTCTAACATCCCGCGGTAGCCGGCAGACGTGCTGAGCTCAAAGCAACGTATATGTGCATGTGTGTGTGTTTCTGTTTTTTTGGGGACAGATTTTAAGGTTGGGGGTAGAGTTATGATTATTATGAAGGTGTTTCTTCAGGGAATGAATGTAAAATCCCCTAATGTGACCTACTGTGTGTGTGTGTGTGTGTGTGTGTGTGTGTGTGTGTGTGTGTGTGTGTGTGGGATCGTAATGTAATTACAGCAGGTTCTTCCTTGTCTGTTTTCGAATGGCTCAGAACAAGTGACAGGGGATTCAAGCTGTGCAGAGTTTTGCACTACAACCGTTCAGGGATTAAGAACTGTGAAGGGAAATAATTTCTGAGTAAAATTTCTGCACGAGAAGCCTCTTCTCTTGATGAGCTCCATCAACAATATTTATATATTGCACCAAAATCTGAATAAATGAAATATTTTAAGTACTCGTAAATGTTTGGAATTTTCCTCTGCACGTAAAGAGATGAATTCTTTTGTCAAAGGCTTCAAGCAGAATCTCGTCAGGATTATATGACTGTTGTTGTTATGTGAGAAAAGATATTTCCCTTTTTTTATAGACTTCTTCTGTCTTTGTGTCACCTCATGTATGTGGCTTTTGTTTTATGTCTTATAAAAAACCTGTGGAAAGAATAAAAGGTTGTGTGGGATTGGTTTCCCTACTGAGCTGCAGGTATTGAACAAAAAAACGTAGCCTTGCATGTTCTTATTTGCTCTTATAGGCTCCAAGCGTGGGGGACAACTCAGGCTTTTACCCGCTCGCCGCCACATATCGATTAGCTACGCTCAGGTTGCTATGCCGATTCCCATTTGAAGCTGAGTTTGTGGGGTTTTAACGCTCAATCAAAATCCGGTTAACCTTTCAAATGGGGGGGGATCAAACGCCTGCGCGGCCTCGCTGTGCACAAACAGCCGCTGCCAGCAAGTAAAGAGATTTGTAAAGGAGTCGGACGTGAAGGGGTGACTCACAAGATGTTTCAACACAGAACGTGACAGGCCAGACTAAATTTATTGTTTCATTGCTAGGAGCCCAGACATTATGATGAAATAAAGGGACAATAAAAATCAGAGGTTGGGACAACAAGGCTATGATACAGAGTGTTGGCAAACAGTCACACACTTAATCTACAGGGACTGTCGAGAGTGTGTGTGTTGGGGGGGGGGGGCAATAAATCATAAAGTAATTACACAGTGAGATTAGTCCTGATGTCCCTCCTCAGTCAGTCCTGTCCCATTACAGTGCATCACATTACAGAAGGAGACAGAACAGATAATCATCTTTTACTTAGAAGGAATTGGATGTGGGGGATGGGGGGTTGATTAACACCCACATTTTTTTTTCCTCAATATTTTTTTTGGGGCAGATGAAGGAAAAGCGGCACCAAGACGTTTTGAGATTGCAGCTTCATTTGTTTAAGGATAGTTGAGCGATTATCAGATCAGTGAACCCAGTTTGATTTGATAGTGTCCCCAACTGTCTCCGTCTGTCTCCGTCTGCTGAATGTAGGAGGAAGACACTTGGTGTTGTGGCGGCCGCAGTAACAATGATCAGCCGTGATTAGCATAACTTAATCACTAGTTGCAGGGCATGAATTTTGTATCTGTTTTCACTTGTGCTCGGGCGAAATTGCAATGAAGTGTTATGCTAATGCGTCTCTGAAGTGCGCACCCACACACACACATACACACTCACACCAAGATACAGGCATGACACCTCTACATTCAAACAAGAAACTATACATCCTTTCTTTGTGTGTGTGTGCGTGTGTGTGTGTTTGTGTGTGTGTTCTCTAATCAATGTAACAAACCCCCCACCCGAATTTATTTACAGCTCAGGCAGGGCGTCGCCATGGTAACAGACAGTAGAATCGGATTCTGCACCAAAGTCATGTGATAAGGTGGGAATAAATAAACACATAAACAGCTATGTGTGTATTAAAGAGGCGCAATCACACACACACACACACACACAATGTCCCCCCCTTACAGTGGCTGAGACCATTAATAACACAACACACTCCACAGGAAAGGGAATGTGAGGAGTGTTGCTCTTTTCTTCAGCTTCATCTCAGGAATACAAAAAGGAAAATTTGATAAAAACCCATCCAAGAATCCTTAAATGACCTTGTCTTCAGACATACATTCGCACATTTTCCAGTTGAAATAGACGACATTAAAATTAATCTTCCTATTTTTCTTGGCGTTATAATGATGTTTAACATAGGCAGTATATTTACTCTGTACTGTGCTGTAATTTAGAATTTTTAAGGTAAATGTATTTTACGTGAGTACTTGTATTGTAGTTACTTTACAGATTTTGGATTTTACTCATACAAACGTAAAATGTATGACTCTGGATAAAACTACTGTTTAATTTAGTACACTATAATATGATGGCCATAATAATTCCATATATTATAATTATAATTTTATTTTCATTATTATTTGTATGATTATTATGGTTGTTGTTAATAATAATAATAATAATAATATAATTGTATAAAAAATACTAAAAATAGATTTCACCAAATCACTTCAAAATAAAGTGCTGAGATATTTGCTGAAATATTTACTCTGTTCAGGGGCCCAGCTCCTCGCTCTCTGCACAGCTGGCCCTGGCTCCGCCTCCACGTTGACCAGGTGCCAGCAGCCTCGTCCCTGCTGGTCCCGGTGATCCAGACGCAGGCGCAGCCGCACGCTCTCGCCAAGGACGCTGGGAAACCAGGAAACAGGTGGCGAGGGAGGGGCCAGATCCAGTTGGGAGTCAGGTTTGAAATTCTGCCGTCCTCCCAGTCTCATACCCTATCAGCCCACCAGGACAGAGCAAAATATACACCACACTGGAAGAAATGAGAGGAAACACTCAACAACCATAAACTGTAAAGTGTCTGGCCAGTTGCAGAAAAGGTCATAAATCCCACCTCCTCCTTATTAGTGGACGAGACACGGAAACAAAATAAAAAGTCAAAATAAAACTCAAATAACTTTTTCTCACAGATGTGTTTTTGTCACTTTAATAAATTGTAGTACACGTTGATGTATGTCCAACTCTTAATTCTTCAGGGTAGTTTGGTTGTATTGGTTTATTTGCTTGCTGCCGTGACGAAAGAAAGAAAGAAAGAACAGGGAGGGTATAGAGGGAATATTTAATGACAAAAATAAATTGGCGGTTGTCTAATTACAGCAGCGCGTGCGTGTTTAGAGGTCAGAGAACTAAACTGAGAGCTAATGTGAGAATATGGCTTCACTAATGATAAAAGTGTTGGGGACAATGTGTCTATTGTGCTGTAAAGTGAATGCAAATTGGCCTCTAGGGCTCTGGACTCACTGATTAAGTTTAACTAACTACGCTCGCAGTCTCCTCTGAATCGGATGGCACAAAGGAGGGTGATGATGAGAGAAGAAGGCTGTGAGGCTTGTTGTAGCTGATGGAAATGTTCACAATATCACCCTGTCACACTGTTGAACAAGCCCCTCTTATCTTCTTTTGGGCGACAGTTCATCCTGCTGGAACTAATGTCAAGAAGAAGACTTCTTTGCTCCAGATCTTTATGGATTGTTAGCAAATGTTGTTTGACAAGACAGAAGGAATCTTATCATAAAACATAATTGCTCCTCTGACAAAATCAATTGATTTAAAATGCAACCTGATAATATGTGAAGCAACTTGATTTCCTGAATAAACACACTCCCATTAAGTCTTCTTCGTTCAGTGCAGCAGTGAGGAGAGGACAGAGAGACAGTTTCAGATTAATGTATATGAGACAATATTGGTGTTGGTTTGTATGTTTGTTTGTTTGTAATTACACAAAAACAGCTGGACGGAGTTATTGGTTAAAAGGATTTGATATATGACAGGAAGGAACTGATTAAAATGTAGGTGTCGTTCCAGAATATTTTTTCAATGTCTTTAACATAACATTAATGAAATAGAGCAAATGTATTAACGTTTTCCCTGGGAATAATTAGTGGATCTGGATAAAACAAATCATGCATATTCAAAGAACTTGATTATAATGGTACTGTTGGGCCTTGGTTGAGGTAGTAATGTAATGTAGTAGGTAGTAATTGTTATAGTAATGTCAGTGTAAATCAATAAAAACAAGAACACAGCCATTTGGTCACTGCAGCCATTATAGTGACTTTTTGAGCTGGACTGAATGCAAACATCAGTATACGTGTACAAAGTATGACCATGTTACCATTGTATGCATAATGTCAACATGTTCACCTTCATAGTTTATTGCATTGTTGTGCTTTTATAAGAAAAAACAACATGAACTACAGAAAAGCCAGATGAGTGCCATTAGTTTACCAAGTGTTGAAATTTGATCAGAAATCAAAGTCAGGTTTGTCCTCTGAGAACCATGCAACAAATATCGAGGTAATTAATCCAACAGTCTATTCAAAGTTGCTGAGAGGTTTCACTAAAAACCTGATGGTGGCGCTATAGGAAAAGTCATCCACTCTATTCCTAATCGCTTTGTGCAAACGTTCATGGACAGTTGTTGTTGGAATGTTAACATTCCCACTAGTGTGACTTAGAATGACTCAAAAAGCACAAGCAGACAAAAAGCCACAGTCTCTAACTTTGAACTGATCCCCTTTAATCCTGGGAAGGAAAGAATGAGGAGATTGAGACACAGATGAGATGAGCTATGGAATAAAGAAAAATGCCCAATGAGAGAAAGTAAGAGACGAGGAGAGGAGAGGTTTACAAATGGTTAAAGAAAACACAAGAGAATGGCGAGAGAAAATGACAGTGGAGGAAAATTCAAATTATTTTCTGTTTGAACGAGATGCAGTGCTTTTTTATTTATTAGTATTGTGTGAGTGTGTGTGTGTGTGTGTGTGTGTGTGTGTGTGCAGGTAAATATAATCAAAGGAGAGATATAAGAACAGAACAGAAGGAAATGGGTCAATACAGAAGAAGGAGTGAAGAGAAAATAAAACGCTTTCATCTGCGGACTGTCTGAAAATCGTCTGCCCTCAACCCCAATATTTCATATTTACCAAAAATCAAAAACATCAAACGGTAAAGAACATGAAACAGACTGCTCTCTCTCTCTCTCTCTCTCTCTCTCTCTCTCTCTCTCTTTCTCTCTCTCACACACACACACACACACACACACACATGCTGTTCATTATTCCCACAAGCAGCGATGGAGAAATCACTGGAGAAATTTTATGAAAATGGTTATATGGCATCTGTGTTACCACTGAAGAGCGTGACTTTGGTCACTTTAGATATTCTTTGTTTAATTTTCAGGCTCGGGTTAAAACAGTAATTCTTTTAAAACATAAATAATTCAGATGATAACGACAGCGATGAACGATGAAGGAAAAATATTCAGACATGAGATGAGTTGACAAAATGTGATTTATCGTATCTGCTGTGCAGTAAAAAAAATTTGATGACTGTCGGTACATGGATGGTGTGGTCAGTTATTACCATAGCGATGATGACATCATCAGGGAGTTGACACTGCAGAGCTGGATTATTATGAGATCATGTTTGGTCGCCTAGGAAACAAAAAATTGCACAGTCAAAGTATTTCACAACAGAACTAACTGTAGTATTTTTACTTCACAACACAGCTCTGTCAGCCTGAAGTTAAGTTTAACACTTTATTTCACAGGATCATTTTGATCAGTTATTTCTAAATGTGAAGCTGAGCCGAGCCCAACATGCAAATGTGATCAAACCTCATCAGAAAGAATAGAAATAAATTAACTTAAATAAAACTGATGAGTTCTTGAAAAAGCTCTTGTTCTAACTGTAAAAGAATGAGTTAAAAGTACACCCTGCAGAATCAGGAATTGTGCACAGATGTCGGACATATATTTGGCCTCCCTGTGTAAATTGTGGCCCCCCGACTAAGTAAAATCCTAGATCTGCCACTGCTTTCATAGTCTTAAAAACACAGTTTGTTCTCAGATATTTGAGGTAAATAAAAAAGAACCAGTGACCTGCAGCTCAGCACAGTCAGGTCTGTATAATGTGTCATTCTGAAAATAATAGATGAGGCCTAAATAATGAATTAATAAATAATTGAGGAGTTGAATATGACCTTGTTGTATTTGACAGAGCATTTAGAGTGAGTTTATTGTGACCTGGTTGTAGGTTAAACTCGTAAATCTATTTAAACAGCCAAGGATTAGTTATTTAATCACATTGTTGGTTTCTTTACCGATTTGATCCGTTGCTCCGCGGCTGGCTGCGTCCGGACAGCGCCTCCCGGTTCCTCCCAGTTCCCCCGGTTCTTCCCGGTTCCTCCCGGTTCGGTCCGGGTTCCTCCCCTGCAGATGCGGCACTGCGGCGCGCAGAGAGCCGCTTGGTGCTGGAGGCAGCGGAGCCGCAGTTTCACCTTCACGCTTCTGTCCGGAGGTTTTTTATTTTAGGGCAGGAGCGTCCTCAGGGGCGCAGGTAGAGGAGGAGGAGAGGGGGAGTGTGGCTCCTGGTTTGGATTCTGTTTCTATGTGTGTGCTGCTGGTTTATTAGAGAGAGAGAGCAGTACATGAAGCTGCAGAGGTTCAACCATCTTCCATGAAGGTGGGGTGGTTGTTTGAGCTCCAACCAGAGGAAATAATGAAATTCTGTGTAATACTTACACTTGTATTTCCTTTATAACTGTTAACCGGCTGCCTCAAGTCTAATTCTGCAAAACTCTCTCTGGCAGTGTTTCCTGGTACAGATATTATTTTAACCTACAGAAAAATATGTCCCCACATGAGAATTTAAGAGAATAAAGCAGATTTTCTGGGGCAGACTGGATGAGACAGGACCAATAAACAATTCAGGAAAAGGCTCATGTGTCTGATATTTGATGTGGTGGTAGTCCATGTTTTTAACCCACACACAAAAAAAGTGTGTTTAATCACCTTCCTTCAGCATATGGAAAGTCAACAAAACCATTTCATTTAAAAGTTTTATTTGAAATGATTTTAAATACAAATAATATATTTTTCCATTTACAATGACAGTTCCTTTGTAAACAAAAGTGGCAGATAGATAGTCATTGGGTCGTTTGTCCAAACTGAGTCGGCCTGCTGGCCAGTCGCCTGGACGAGGTCTGTCATGGGGAGAGATGGTGTCGTATTTAACCTCACTGCAGTTTTTTTTCCACACAGCGTAAAATCACTGATGCTACATTCTATTGCAGAGCGATAAATACTCAGAGTACAATATAACCTGTTAGCATACACCTGCTTTAAAGATGATTACAGGAGGGTGTAGTGCGCGCAATTTCTGTTTGTTTGTGTGAGTGTGTGTGTTGGGAGCGCATGCCCACGGATATTCAAACCTTTATCGCTCCCACACTTGCGTGACACATGAATATGCCATATTGTTGTTGAATATTCAATCATGATGAAACATTTTTATATATATCGTTTGAAAACTGAACTGTCAAGTTGTCAACATACAGTGAGAGCCCACAGAGCAGCATGAGGAAGCTCCGATTTTTTTTTTCTCCACTCATGAGTCAAAAAAGATGGAAAAAAACGAAATAGGTTAGAATGGCAAGAACAAGAAAAAAAGACCTATGTGTTACATTTGTTATAACTAGTTTAACGGAGACAAAAAACAGAGACAAAAAGAAAATAAAAAATACACCAGGAGATTTGGTGGAGAGAAATTTCCACGTGAAATGGCTGTAATTACAAAACTAAGCTTGTTCTGCTTGAATGACTCAAGAGAGAAGGTGCTGCACAGAAATGTCTCATACGACAAGTTGCTTTCGACAGGTTTTTGTTCGAGACACATTTCCAATTGTGTAGTATGTGTGTCAGGGAACCTCACACTCCAGCCATGTCACTCGACTGCTAACTCTCTTTCACCAGACAAAACTGTACTCGTGGCGAGATCAGAGATATGCATGAAGACTGCAGAGCTACAGGTTCTTATGAAGACTCATTCCAAACTGAAACAAAAAGGAAAAACTCTAGAATATTTTACAAACGCACAAACAAATATATTTTTTCTTCTCTCCCATGATTCACTGGGGCATTAGCACCCAATGACTTGTATGTCGTGGTGTTTCAGTTGTATTCATAAGGCCTTTTTGGACAATGAGCATACACTGGAATGTGCGGCAAAAAAGATGGAGAAAGGAAGTCACTTCTCTGAAAAGCCACGAGTATGTATCTATATATTATATATTTCAGAATCTGTCACAACTTTTATGTAGTTTACGAAGAAGGAGGAAAAAAATCACAACACTGCAAGTTTTGTCATTTTCGCCTCATTTAACTTGAGGTTAGGATTCATTATTAGAGCAGCCTGCTATCAACCGACAGTCATCTCCAGTTTGATGTGGATCATGGACAGGACTGACAGGAAATCAGTATCTATCCCCTTCAACATACAGTAATTACAAGTACATACACATGACTGGCTGGCTAGTGTGACCGAATAAAAGGAAGAAAAAAAAGACGAGATTTAACTGTGCCCCTGCCAAAGTGTTGACTTGGACGTGATCCCAGACGAACAGGGCTAAAGCTCACACCTCTGCAGTTTAAGTGTACAATAGAAGGTATCATTGACGTGGAGAACATCGGTGCATGAGTGATTTTTTTTTTTAAAGTTTGGAGCGCGAGTTACGTCATGAGGTCGGGTGTTTTGTTGTTTTCTTCTCGTTTGTGTTGCAAAAAACAGAATTAGCTGTTACACATCCCCTCTCCCTCCTCGAGAAAAGAGCCCAGATAATAGGTCCTCCAGTCCACAGTGTGTCAACCGTTCATACCTGTACAAACACATACAAGGCTACAAACACGCAGCAAACACACCCGCGCACACACACACACAGCCTCACATGCACACCCACTCGCACACATGGGCCTGGTTACGTATTCACAGAATTCTATTCCGCCAGCGACGGAAAGCGAAGGAACGAGTCTCTGTAGAAAAGAGGAAATGGTCACAGTCCATGTCATTGTAAGGGTAAAATAGACGAGGAAGAGCAGGAGGGCTCTGTGTGTATACATTGCCCTAATGATTCAATGTGTGTGTGTGTGTGTGTGTGTGTGTCAGGCAGGGCATCGCTGCTCCTCGCTCGCTGCTCTCTCTCGAGTGCCGTTCGTGGGGTCAGGGGTGGGTGTGTGGCCAGTCCATGGGAGAAGGCTGAGCGTGTGTGTGTGTGTGCGCGAATGTGTGTGTCCCCGTTCAGTCGTTGTCCTCGTCGTCGTCTTCACTCTCCTCGATGCCGTCGCTGTCCTCTTGCTCCTCGTCCTCCTCCTCCGTGTCGGGGATGTCCCACTGTGGGTGGTTGTCCAACATGGCCTTGGCCTCGTGGACCTCCAGCTGAGAAAACACAAGGAACACGGAGAGTTTAAGACACAGCACTTGTGCTCTAAACATATTTATACATTTAGAAAACTGTGCACCCTAAATTTAAGTAATTTATTTTTTACTTTCATTAACATTGCGAGTTGGCACAAATCCAAATAAAAATCTGGAACTAGCAGATTTATATGTGGTTTCATAGAGGAGCCAGATTTTTTCAGCCACTGTACAGTAACAAAATTTGGTGCAAATCCAGACAAAAGTGCAGATCCAGACTTTTCTAGTTAAAACATTTTTACAAAAGAAATGTGGCATGTTTTTAAATTTTACATTTAACACTGAAAAAAAAAGTTTAATTCTCAACCACAATGAGCACAAGAGAGACCATGTGCCAGCCTGTCCAAGAAAAATAACTAATTTCCTTCCTCGTAAAAAATTTTAATCTAATACTGTTGCAAAAAAGTCTTATGAATCTCCAGTTCAACAGTTCTTAACATTTAAGATACAGCACAGCATAAGAATTCAGATCAGAATTGATTGATTCACACTCGCACTGCAATAAATGTCAAACATTTTCACACATACTGCAAGAATACATTTCATTTATTCTCTGGTTTGGCTTGGAACAGTTTCTTTTATTCCCAACACCTCGGCAGGAATTAACACCATTGTTGTTCAGCTATTGTCTCGGCTGTTTGGCAGAAAAACAACCATCGTATCCAGCACAATTTACACTGATTTGGCTGATGGACCAGCAAATTACTGTAGCCACCAGTGAGCATCCCCCATGAAACCACACAGACACACACACACAGCTCTATTGTTACCTTAAGTGGTTTGATCTGGTCCAGTCCCAGGTAGGAATCAGAGCGGAGGATGACTGAATACTGGTAGTTCCCTGTTTTGGACGGAGCTGGGAACTTCAGCTCCACCTGGAAAACAACACACACACAGCCTTGATTCATTCTAATCACAGAAGCATTAGCAGTGAACATGACAACTTGACATATTAAGTACTTCATGACATTAAAGCAGAGGATTTTAGGACTTGTCAAAATCATGTAGAAAACAAAGTGTGTGTCATCAGCATTTAACAAGGTTCGACTTCTTTTATTCATCAAAACCAGAACCACTTACAGGAGCAGCACACACACTAACACGGCCAAACAACCTTAAAACACATCCGCTGTTACTGGTCTATCTAATCATCTGGCTGCACCGGGATGCAGTGCGGGAGGTAATCACACACCATCAATCACCCGATGATGGGGTCCAACTGTAAATATTAGACCAGCATTACCTCAAGCTGTGATTAGCATGTCGTACAATTACATATGGCAAACATCTCATTATCAGCACAATGAGGCTAATCATTATTCAGTGCGTGGGAATGAGCCGCGAACACGGCGGCAAATTCACTGATGTGCCTTGTTGATGAACGCGGCCCTTCTGCCCTCGCTATCCAAAGAAAGAGAACACGTCTGTCAAACACGCACACGGCAAATCAGCGTTCCCACTGCTCTAACAACAGGAGGTTGTTGAAGGGACAATAATTGATTGCTAAACAGTGAACTGTTCTGCACGTGCAGGGTCACCTCTGGCTCTTACATTCCTTCAGAGCGGTGACAGCTGGTCGTGCAGAACGGACCTCATTAAGCTTTTACCTCACCGTCGATCCTTGTAGCTGCTGGAGAGCAGCAGGATCAGAGGTGCAAATTGTGCATAATAAACACACACGCACACATACACACACTACTTTGAGGAAATAGTGACAGAAGTGCAAATGGTTGCCTAGCAACATGGTGTGTAAGGGGGTACGGTGCACAAGAAATACACACCTTAAATTAATAAGGTGTGAACACACACACACACACACACCTTAACTTTCTGCTCCTCAAGGGTTTTGGCGAACTCAAGTAATTAGAAGATTTCACCTTGGGCTCTCCAAAAATATAATGCACATTTTATGAACTGAAAGATTCATTAAAAAATGACAGTCACACACTTAACTCATGTGGGCTGCTAATTGTAATCTGCACTTCAATTTTGTCCGTGCAAGTGACACAAGTTTCCATGAATAACACACGCTTACCTCTTCTGTGTCTTGTAGCGTGCACACATGGTATGGCACGGAGACGAGGGTCTGATCTCGCCTGTCGGCGATGTAGAGCCACCACCACTCCTGCTTTTCCTCTGGGAAGTAGAGGCTGTAGACGGGGTGCGTCACCTTCGACTTGGTCTCGAGCAGGGCCCGCTCTCGCCGCTGGATGCTTTGCTGCAATGCCTCCCACTCCTGAGGGGGAGATGTGGACAGTGGAGAATGCAGGCGGTGTTTCCTTTACACTCATTAAACGTATAATATGTAAATTGGATCATTAGCCTATGAACCCATGTAAAGTTCTCTGACCTCTTCGTCGTCTCCAGCCATCTCATCCACTTCTGTGTCGCTTTGCTTGTCGCTGTCTTCGTCTCTCTCGCTGGGAGAGTCCTTGTTGGCTTCACCCTCGTCTGATTCGCTGCCCTTGTCTGATGCCTCATCCTCTTCCTCCTTTACTGCTGCTGATGTTGCTGCTACGACTTCCTGCAACATCAATATGTGCAACAGGAATGTATCAAATAGGCAACATGTTTATATGATATATAAATGACATTCCAAGACAGTTGTCGCTACACACATACATTTCCTGCCACGTTGCCGTTGGCCTGTTTGGTTTTGGCAGGCGCAGGAGTGGGCTTCTTCTTCATTAATTTTTTCTTCTTGGACTTGGCTGTTTTCTTGGCTCCTTTACTCTTGTTCTGCCACACTTTGGTTTTGGCTTTACTGGAGTCTCCTTGCTTTAAACACACACACAAACACACAGGAAGGTAAGGTGAACACAAAATGTCAAAGTTATAGATCAGTATGAGTTGGTGTTTATGTGTTTGTGTGCGCGATCCTTACTGCTTCCTCTGTAGTGGCAACCTCCTCTCCTGTACATGGTGTTGACTCCTGCTCTTTTTCAAACATGTCCTACACACATACAGCACAAGTTCAAATTGTTTTTCAACCATGGATACAGTGAACAGCACTCTCTAGTGGTCCTCTATGGAACTGCATGCAGAGGCAGCAACATACTAAGTACATTTTATTCACCCAAAATTGGTTTCTGTTAACACACAATTATGTCAGTGTTTAACCTAATGCCATCATTCCTTACCACCATCCGTTTTCTGGTTAAGGTGACAGTTACTGTGACGATAGAGCCTGCGGTGATGTTATTGCTGTCTTCATCATCCAGGACTAGGGACAGAATAAAAGGAAATGTCTTAAAATAGACACAGAAAACTTCTAACATCTGGTTTGTCTGACACTATGCAGGGAGTTAATTCAATTCAAGCTTTCACTCAAACCTTATCACAAGTTTACCCGATTTTTTTTATCACTTATTGCCCAAGCATTGCTTGAAAGAATTAATTTTCCAGGTCAAAGACTGTAAGACTGACCCTGAAGTTTGGTATCCATATTGATGTGAGGGAAGCTGCCCAACACAGACATGACCTCATCGTACTTCTCCTCCCCCAGGAAACGCAACATGCTGCGTCTGTCCGAGTCCTTGAGACTCACCAGGTCCTGAAGGCTCCGAACTTTGTACTGAAGAGTCAAGGACACATAATGTAGTTACTTTAAAAATCTCAACCACAGTGCACGTGTGCACATACAGACAGGTGGCAGGTACCTTCTTGGAGATGCAGTAGCGGAGGTGCTCCTCCTCAAAGTGGGGGAGCTGCAGAAGTGGTGACTTTGACTCCTGCAGGCCCTGCACGCACATCTGGGTCAGTTTCATGCAGTTCTCTATGGTAACCAGCCGAGGAGCGTGGAAACCTGCACAGAGACGTGACCGTGTGCACATGTCAGCATTCATGAAAAACATATCAATGCATCACAATATATCAATTTGTCCATCCGAGAGAAGCATTTGCATACAAGACATAAATTACTAATAATAATTTTATTGCTTTTGATTATTTATTTTTCCCAAGTTCTGAATATGTACAGTAATCCCAGAAAATGATGTACGTGTTTGTAAATCAGGGTCGTCTTCTAACCTCAAAAAAGGGATGTGCCAAAAGGCATTGCCCTGACACATAAATACAAATATATGTATGTATACAACAAACTGTTTACTTTACAGTGTTTAGTTTTATAGATACACAGCTTCCCTGCTTTTAAAGATTCACAGACTATGATTATTTAACACTTGAAAATGCAGATCAAGCTTGTAATTACTCCCACACAACACAAGATAAAAAGCAATGACTGACCAAAGCATATCTTAAATCAGTCAGTGTGCGACTTTTCACTATATTAATATATATATTATATAATTTACCTCCTCTGCTGTTGGCCATCATAGTGAGCTGACAGCCGACGTTGATCATCTCCTGCAAGAGAGCCGGACTCTTCCTCACCACAAACCTCTGATCTGAAAACAGAAACATACGTGTTCTGAATAACATGTTCCTGTGTCATGTTTCTTACGATAATAGAGAAAAGCACTATGATGCAGATCATTCCTGAAAGCTGTCCAAACACCCCAATTTTGGAAATCTTAAGAACCAGTTACTTCTGTTGCTTTGTAGAAGTTTGAAAAGAGCCGCAAAAACAAACTCACTGAGATCATGCAAACGAGCAGGTAATGACTTGAACTGAATTGATTTGTTAAGCATCTCTCTCTTAAAACATGTAAAACAATGTAATCAATCAATCAAAGTATTTAAATGTTCAGTGTCCTACCTTCCTCCAACTCTTCTGATACATCCATTCGGGCCAGGTGAGCGAGCACCAGGACCCTGGCCTTTAAACTGTAAGGATAACAGAACGGAGGCTCCTTCTTCTTCACGTTGATATTTCCTAATTCACGAATCAACTGGAAGACAAGGGACAGGTTGTTTATTCCACACACTCAAAGAATTTCCCTTTGAATTCTACACAATCCATCTCTTCCTGTAAATACCTGTGGCACTTCAATGTTGTCTGTTGGTCGTATTGTAGCTTCTTTATTGCTGCGAGGGTCAAACTCGAACGCCGCCGTCAAAACCATGGCCAATCCTGGAGGACATTAAACAAGAAATTACGGACCCCATTGGAAATGACCACAGTGGCGATAGTAGCAGTCTATCAAGCAAAAACTATGTTCACTACAGGGACGCGCTCTATTTCAAAATTGTTTGGTGCAGCTGATTTATGGGCATAAAAGTGAGAAAGATAAACTCACGCTTCATGTTCATGTTTGGCGTTTTGTACATAAAATGCATGAAGAGTTGGGTAGTGTTGATGAGGATCTGGTCTCCACTGTAGCGGATGGAGCGGTACCACCATGTACCCTGATATATAGAGAGACACAAAGCAGGACACAGGAGAAGTTAAAGTGAAACATCCAGGGTATAAGAAGAAATAAGACACACTCCAATCTACAGACGCTGGCATTAGATCATGATGACTTACCACAACGACAGGAAGGATGACCATAAAGGCGAGTCCATACACCAATAAGACCTGCAAATGAAAACAAAAACCATGAGACCAAAGTTTGTTTTAAATAAGACCTGCATAGAATAAATAACGATCCTGGAAAACATTAAGATCTTTGAGTTATTGATTGCATTGGTTCCCTGCTCATCAAATATAAATAAATCACAAGCAAATTAAGGAAAGTAAAAATAAAATAAAAACTAGATTGACATAATCAATGAATATCTACCAGCATTGAGTTCTTCTGGTCAACAATCCAGGCAGGCAGGGCAATACCAAAGCTCGTAGCTAGAAAGAGACACATAAGAGACGATGGACCAAAATGGCAAAAACCGCAGTTTACATACTGCTGTTCATGAACCTATGAAAATGTCTCTGTACCGTTCAACTGTTACTGTTCTCAACTATAGAATTTAAAACCAGTTACTCCGTTCTAAGAAGCCCACAAACACTGTGTTAAAATATGTTTTGGGGGTTTGGTGAAAGTGTGAGAAAAAAATATATCATCCATTTTTAACACAATCATGACGACAAGAGGTCAACTCAATAGTATCAAATCGAAAAACTGAGTGCGGGGTGTTTTTTTTTAAACTTACCTCCTGGTCCATCTGGGTTACCGTACATTTCCCAGTTCTGTCGCGACTGTTCATTGGTCAGACTGTGAGGTGAAAAACAAGTGGACACAAGTAATCAATAGAAATTGAAAGCCGGGCAGAAGAGGGTGATTACTTTCATTAGTGATCACAGATGCAGTTTGGCTGTCTGGGTTATGAGTGACACTCACGCAGCGTAGGCTTTGGCTATTCTCATGAATGTGGCCTCATCACCACCTTTGTCAGGGTGGAACTTGAGTGACAGTACACGGTACTGCTTCTTGATTTCTGACAGAGAAGCACCCTGGAGACAGAAATATAATTATTATTCACACATTACAGATTCAGTCAAATGCGAGGGATACTTTTTTTTAAATATCTTTCCAAATATGGATCTAATATCTTGAGGGGAGATAAAAATACATTAACTTTAAAAACTTCAGTGGTTCTGTGGATTAAAGCATAGAGTAGGTTTTGTGCGTCTTTACCGGGTCCAAGTTGAGGACTTCATAAGGATTGTACTCCTGGTACTCTCTGTCCAGCTTGGACACTTTGTAGGCTAGCAGCAGAAACACAGCCCACCCAAATAACAAGGCTGCTTTCCTGAAAATGGCAACACACACATATACAGGGAAAATGTTAAACACGAACATCTGTGTTCTCAGTCCCTGCCTAATTTTTACAAAACACATTCTCACTGCAGACCAGATTATTATGACTTTATATTATAATTCTGCAGAATCCCTCCTACAATGTAAACAAGCTCTCAGCATAATAGAGCTACAAACACGATTGTTTTTCAAACTCTAAACACATCTCATCTTTACATATTGAATACAAGCAGAAGAAACAGGACCAGGACTGACATTATTGTTGTTTAGTACTTATGCATGGAGTCGAACTTGTTTCCATGACAATGGCAAAACCCTATGGCCTGCGCTGCACCATCTGTTGCCATGACAACTACTCACAAGCCTCAGAGTTGTCTGAGCAACTCAACCAGAAAAATACAAGATAGATTTCCATCATCATCATGATACAGTTGTGAAGAGGAAACGTAAACGATTTTGAGATTAGAAAAAATTGTTTTGATTCATGCCACTGAAAAAGCATGTTCCACCAGTTTCAGTCAAAAACGCAACAATGCAAATTAAGAATATAGATTTTAGTCTAGTCAACTGAAAGAGCAGGAGTGGCGAGTGGAAAGTATGAAGCTGAACAGATGAGAAGGCAGAGACAGAACAAAGAGGAGATGCTCAGACAGACGCTCTGTGAGAAAGAATCTAATGAGCAGAAGAAAAAAGCAGAGCGAGCAGCACTCGAACACACGTCTTCCCATTAACCCACACACACAGCACAAATAAACAACGCTAAGAAAAAACAGGGACTTGTTAAGAAAAACGTTAAACATTGCAACACAGCGTTTACACCAGCTGCACCCATCACTGAGAGGTTTACGCAGGAAAACAACATAAACCAAACTTGGGCCAAAGAAGACCCGAAACAAAACTTCCATATATGCATATACTGCAAACCTGAGTCTGTCTGCACCATGGAGAGAAGCCTGTGTCTTATCTTTGCACTACAGTTACAACGTCTCTGTCCAGCTACACTGAAGTGAAACAGTGAGTTATGAGTAACAGATTTCAGGTCATGCAAGTCACATCTTAATCAACAGGGGTGACGTGACTTTGGCAAAAAGGAGATGGAACGAAACCTGTTCTTTAAATGCAGAACAAGTTTAGGCCAAACATGAAAGTGCCTTGTAATCAACCTGAAGCTGCAATTTAGATACAACAGGTTGACATAGTTTCACAATAAAATAGTTCAAGCGTCAACTTCAACCAAGAAGAGTGATCAGCTTTAGGATGATAACAAATTCTGTGGAAGAAATCCTGGGAAGTTGTTTCATCACCCACAAACTGTGTGGACACTCTCCCTGAATTTGTCGACATCATGTTGATCTCTACAACAACATAAATCCAATTTGATTGGACTCACTTTAAAGTTGGGACGATGCTCTGCTGCGACTTCATCAGCCGGAGCCGGTACCACAGACACCTGCCGTGGACCCTCCTCAGGCTCTTCAGACGCAGTTGTTCTGTGAGGAGGACAAACACATTAGTATGGTTTGAATCATAATCACTGCTGGTGATTGCATAGTTACTTGGAAATGGTTAAAATGAACAGTTGAAACTCTCAATCCATTTTTGCACTACTGTTTGCACTACTCTGATCCTATCCACCCTGCTACTTATGACTGCATACTATGTTGTACTGTGTTATGAGTACAAATTGTTTTGTGTACTTATATGTTCTGTTTTTGAGTACTATTCTGTCTACTTATATTTTCATACCGGTGATCAGAGAGGAATGTCCTGTTCAAATGGAAGAATTGACAATAAAGAGTTTGAAATCAAGGGAGAGTGAGAAAATCTTGTGTTAGCCAGGGAGGGAGTGGCGTATGCTTGATTCAGTCAGTGACACAAGTACAGAAATCAGGCTTAATACACTGTAATGCAACATGGAGGAAAGATGATTGTGTTAATGCCATGGTTTAATCTTGGATAACCTAATGTCAATGTTGTGTGTAGTCTTATATCATGGGTTGCTATCAGACGTAGCCACACTCTCAGTGGTGATGCAGCCATTCCCAGTGGAGCAGCTGAGCAGAGTTTGTTAGCATATGTTACACAACCTGTGTGTGATAAGCTGGGTTGTTGACAAACAGTTAGCTGTACTGAGATAAGGTTACATCAGAGGAAGGGCGACAAAGACACAGGACGCTGATGTAGCTTTAACAGCACGTCAGCATCATTGTTCACCCACAGCAGCAGCAGCAGCTAATTCTGGCTGAGTGAAGGCAGGGGGACAGCTAATAGGCTGGTAATTGGTAAAGTCGGACGGGTACAAACCGTGTCAACACTGGTTGACTTGCACCAGACTCTGAACACTGGCTCACATGAAGTCCCTGCATCGTTTGGTTGTGGCTGTTTGTGCATGTAGCAGCTAGCATGCTAAGCCTGGATAACAGACTGCCAGGCGGGGGGTTAGTTCGAGTCAAGCCGCTGCCTAGACACGCTGCGAGGTTAGTTAGATAGTTAGTTAGCTAAGTTAGCACAGAGCCAGACATCGGGCCTTACCAGCATTCTGATCCCGGGGCCAGATGTAATATGTGGCCGGGATCACAATGAGTCCCACGAAGGACGTCAAGAAATAGAAAAAGGTGTTGCCGCTGTCATCGTACTGGAACTGTTGCCCGGCCATTTCGTCGCGGCGCTGGGGTCGCCCTTCTTCTTCTTCTTCTCCGCCGCCGCGCTTCCCCTCCTGGGTCAATGTGTGCGACTTGACAGACCGTTAGCTAGCCTGCTAGCCAGCTAGCATCCAGCAGAGACTGTCTGATCATCGGTGTACGTGGTTTACGCATGCGCACTGAGGCCTCCCGTCTTCTTCTACGGCAAATGACCTGACGACGCCCGGGGGCGTTAGTGACACTTAGTGGCGGTGAGGGAGACAGACGGAGCCGCTGAGTGTGGGTGCATGATAGATAGATAGATAGATAGATAGATAGATAGATAGATAGATAGATAGATAGATAGATAGATAGATAGATAGATA